TATTTCTAGTCCTTTTGATGACAGCCATTCTAATGGGTTTGTGGTGACATCTCATGATTTGGTTTCTCTGACGATTATCTTTCCATGTACCTATTGGCCATCTGTATGTCTTTTTTGGAAAAGTGTTTATACAGATCTTCTGTTCATTCTTTAATTGGGCTTTTTTGTTTGTTTGTATGAGTTCTTTATACATTTTGGATGTTAGCCCCTTATCTGATATTTGATTTGCAAATATTTTCTCCCATTCAGTAGGCTGCCTTTTAATTTTCTTGGTGGTTTCCTTTGCTGTGCAGAAGCTTTTTAGTCTGATACAGCCTCGCCTTATTTTTGCTTTTGGTGTCACATTCAAAAAACCATCACCAAAACCTATGTGAAAGAGCTTACTGCCTTTTTTTTTCTAAGAGTTTTATGGTCTCAGGTCTTGAGTTAATTTCTGTGTCTGGTGTAAGGCAGTGGTCCACTTTTCTCAATACCATTTACTGAAGAGACTGTTCTTTTCCCCACTACATATTCTTGGCTCCTTTGCTGTAAACTAACTGACATATATGCATGGGTTTATTTCTGGGATCTATATTCTGTTCCACTGATCTATGTGTCTATTTTTATGCCAATACCATATTGTTTTAATTACTGTAGCTTTGTAATATAGTTTGAAATCAGGGCATGTGATGCCTTCAGCTTCCTTCTTCTTTCTCACGATTGCTTTGGCTGTCTGGGGTCTTTTATGGTTCCAAACAAATTTTAGGATTGTTTGTTCTATTTCTGTGAAAAATGTCATTGGAATTTTGATAGGAATTGCACAGAATCTGTATATTGCTTTGAGTAGTATAAACATTTTAACAATACTAATTCCACCAACCCATGAGCATGGAATATCTTTTCATTTATTTATGTCTTCTTCAATTTCTTTCAGTAATGTCTTGTAGTTTTCAATATACAGGTCGTCTTTCACCTCCTTGATTAAATTTATCTTCTCCATTTTTCTATTCTGTTGTCTTTTCTTTCTTTTTTTTAAAATTTATTTTATCTATTTTATTTTTGGCTACGTTGGGTCTTTTTGGTTGCGCACAGGCTTTCTCTAGTTGCAGTGAGCAGAGGCTACTCTTTGTTGCGGTGTGCGGCCTTCTCATGGCAGTGGCTTCTCTTGTTGCGGAGCACGGGCTCTAGGTGCACGGACTTCAGTAGTTGTGGCTCGCAGGCTCTAGAGCACAGGCTCAGTAGTTGTGGCGCACGGGCTTAGTTGCTCCACAGCATGTGGGATCTTCCCAGACCAGGGCTCAAACCCGTGTCCCCTGCATTGGCAGGGGGATTCTTTTCTTTTTTTAATAGTTAAGACTTTTTAATATTTATTTTATTTATTATCTTGTATTTTTGGCTGCGTTGGGTCTTCGTTACTGCATGCAGGCCTTCTCCAGTTGTGGTGAGCAGGGGCCACTCCTCACTGGGGTGTGCAGGCCTCTCACCGCGGTGGCCCCTCCTGCCATGGAGCACGGGCTCCATACGTGCAGGCTCAGTAGTTGTGGCTCACGGGCTCTAGAAAGCAGGCTCAGCAGCTGTGGCACACAGGCCCCGCTGCTCTGCAGCATGCGGGATCTTCCCGGACCAGGGCTCGAACCCGTGTCCCCCTGCGCTGGCAGGCGGATTCTTAACCACTGCGCCACCAGGGAAGCCCTGTTGTCTTTTCTTTATTGCTTTGTATGAATTCTTCATATATTCTGCACATACTGTCAGATAAGGATTAAAATATTTTTTCCTTCTCTATGGCTTGTCTTTTCACACTCTTAATACTATATTTAATGAAACAAACTTTAATATAATCTGATTTATCAATCTTTTGCTTTTGCTTACTGCTTTTTGTTTCCCATTTATTAAATCTTTGCTTATCCCACATAGTCTCTTATGTTATCTTCTAGATGTTTTATTATTATACTTTTCACCTTTAGATCTACAATGCATCTAGAATAGATTTCTGTGAATGGTGTGCAGTAAGGATTAAGATTTTTTTATTCGAGTGTCTATCTGTATATGAGTCTGTTTCTGGACTCATTCTGTTTCACTGGTCTACTTGTTGACCCCTGTGCCTCTGCCACACTGCCTTAATTACTGCTACTTTAAGTCTTCAATCAGGTGGTGAAATTCTCTCTGCTTGGTTCTTTTCAAGACTTTTGGCTATTATTGGTCAAAACTGTGTTCCCATGTAAATTTTAGAATCAGCTTACTATTTTTTGTAACAACAAAAATGGGATTGTATAGAATCTGTAATTTGGTGAGAGCTGACGTCTTTATAATATTGAGTCTTCCAACTCACTAGCATAGTATATATTAATATATCTCTTCATTTATTTAGGTCTTCAAATTTCTCTGAATAATATTTTATAGTTATCTGTAGAGATGTCTTACATAATTTTGTTAGATTTATTCTTATGTATTTGATGCTTTATATGCTATTTTAAATAGTTTTACTTTTAAATTAACTTTAGGGCTTCCCTGGTGGCACAGTGGTTAAGGGGACACGGGTTTGAGCCCTGGTCTGGGAAGATCCCACATGCCGCTGACCAACTAAGCCTGTGCGCCACAACTACTGAGCCTGCGCTCTAGAGCCCGCGTGCCACAACTACTGAAGTCCACGCACTTAGAGCCTGTGCTCCGCACGAGAGAAGCCACGGCAATGAGAAACCCGCATGCTGCAACGAAGAGTAGCTCCTGCTTGCTGCAACTACAGAAAGCCCACGCGCAGCAACGAAGACCCAACACAGTCAAAAATAAATAAATAAATAAATAAATTTATAAAAATAAAAATAAAATAAAAACTTTAGTGGGAAAAATTATAATGCATTCCATCCCAACCCAAGTGTATTAGTTTGGTAGGGCTGCTGTAACAAAATACCATAAACTGGGTGGCTTAAACAACAAAAATTTATTTGCTCACAAATCTGGAGGGTAGAAGTCTGAGATCAAGGTGTCAGTAGTACCAATTTCTTCTGAGGGCTCTCATCTAGACTGGTAGATGTCCATCTTCTCCTGTGTCTGTGCCCTAATCTCTCTTTATTAGGACATCAATCTTTCCATTTTCTGTATACTATTTGTCCCCATTTTCAGTGGTGTAATACCCTTTGGAGATCAGCTTCTTTCTCCACCCCTCTGGAGCTTCTTTCTGGGCTTCCTCTCTGTCAGATTCAGTCTATTAATAGATTTTTGAGGATTTTTTCCTAATCTTTTGCTTAATAAATAATGCCATAATAAATATAATTTTGAGTTGACTGCTTTATAAAGAAGTTTTTCTTATTTATATTCCAATCCATAGGCTAGAGCAGAGTTTAGCAAACTTTTCCCGCAAGGGCCAGAAAGTAAATTTTTTAGGCTTTCAGGAAACTATAGTCACTGTTGTAACTACTCAACCTTGCCATTATAACATGGAAAGCAGCTACAGTATGTAACTGAATGAGTGTGGCTGTGTTCCAATAAAACTTTATGCATAAAAACAGGCAGTGGTCTGGATTTGGCCAATGGGTAGCCATTGACTGGTGGGCTAGAGAATGCTTAAATCTCCATATGCTTGTCAATACTGTATATTTATCAAATTTTTAATATTTGTTAATCAGATGGATAAAAACAGTGCACTCATTTTCCTTTTAATTTTCACACTTTAAACTATGAAAGAATTGAAATTTTTGTTGTTTACTGGACATCTTTTTCTTTCCCTGTGAATAGTCTATTTATGTCTATTTCCTATGTTTATTAACAGCACTTTCTATTAAAGAATGTAGTCCTTTTCATCTGTACTGCAAATTTTTTCATAATTTACATAATACACTCAAATCTCTTTTTTGAGTTTTTTTTTTAAACATTTTTTTCTTTGATGTGGACCATTTTTAAAGTCATTATTGAATTTGTTACAATATTGCTCTGTTTTATGTTTTATGCTTTGGTTTTTTGGCCACGAGGCATGTGGGATCTTAGCTCCCAACCAGGGATTGAACCTGCACTCCCTGCACTGGAAGGTGAAGTCTTTAACACCAGGGAAGTCCCCTTTTCTGAGGTTTTAATGCAATCAGATTTATAAATCTTTTTTTTTCTTTAAATATTTTTTGAGGTTGTATCATGTTTTAAAAACCCTACCCTCTGTTCATGTTTTCTTCTACTACTCTTGTGGTTTTATTTTTACTTTAAATCTCTGACCTATCTAGACCTTCTTTAGAATAAGTAGTCAACTTAGGCAGCCAACCTGCTTCTCTATTCTTGCAGTCTCCCATTCAAACTATCAAATAATGTGGACACAGAGTGATTTCAGATATATAACTACTCCTCTTTTAAGACACAACTCAAGTATCATCTCCACTATTAAGCGTTTTCTGACATCAACCCACCTGGGCAAAATTCACTCTTGTGTCCCCATTGTACTCTTACAAGTTTCTGCCGAAGCACCTGGTACTTTTTGCACAGATTTGATTTCACGTCACTCTCCTTTTAATGTCAGACTGTACGTAATATGGGGAGATATACAGACACTGAATGTATTACAAATATATATATGACACATACATATGACACTGAATGTATTAATCGTAGTTATCTCTGGAGTTCTTATCTGCTAACTCTAATACATGCCTCTATCTTCAAGGTGCTTATTTGTGTGTCTTTAGTTTCTACCACGGTGATTGGCACACAGTAGATGACTGTATGATGACTAAATGAAACAACTTTAAAATACAAAACTCTACAATTGTAAGCCTGACATGCAAAGAAACAATTTCATATGGTAGCTGTAACTGAAGAAAAATTTAAACTTAAGTACATTAATATTATTTGGCAGAGCCTACTGATTTCGACAATAGAGGAGTATGTGTAGATTTACCATAAATCAGGTTAATCACCCTCTTGTTAAGATTAAGTGAATTTAAGAAAACATTATGCTTCCCAGAACAACAGGAAAAGCATCCCAATGTCTGTCATCATATATATAAAGCGCATAAGGTGAATTATGGAAAATCCATACTTACATGATTGCAGTCTGAAGAAATTTCATTTTCAGGCTAAAAGGAAAAAAGAGATGATGTTAAAAAGAATATCCTCTCAAGTTTTCAAACACCACCAAAATAAACTCAAAACAAGAAATCTGAATATTCAACTGAATATAATACTTCAATGTGAGGAGTAAAATGGGGCTATACATCTTTTAGATTGCTGAGGAGAAATACACCAGGAAAGGACGAGACACAGTCCCTTCCCAATCAATGGTACAATCTGGAAACTGGGAAAATGGAGAAGGATGTACTAAAGACATAAAGCAAGAGTGACAGAAGGATCCTTACATAATACTTCATAATTCTGAAAGCTGAAGAGGATCAGGCACAATACAGGTGCCCTCGCTTTAAAGAAAGTTAGATATCTGGAAAAAAGAAGGCTTATTAAAGAGGGCAAAAAAGGTCTGACAATGATTTAAAAATTAGTCTCACATGTCACCATTAGGGGAAGTGAGGTGGTGGGTACATGGGACCTCTACGTCTATGTTTGTAACTTCTTATGAGTCTATAATCTTGCAGGTCTATGATTAAAAATACAAAGTTTAAAAAAACAGAAATTATTTATATATTCCCATGAATACATTTGCTCATAAAGCCAGGTACATATAACAGAGATAAAATGAACTTTCAATTCTGTGACAAAGAAGTAGACTAGGTTAGGCATTATACTGAATATCTTTGCCATACACTTCTCCTTTAATTTCCTTGTTTATACCGTTAAAGGAGATACGATTGTCATAATGCACGCCATAATAAAGCACTATTTCCTTTGAGATTCCATAGTACTCCAACCTGCTCAAACAAAGTAAATTGTGTCCCCTCTATGAAATATTCCTGACATAGGCTGCAAAAGATGCCACTTTCAAAATAAAAAGATTCTCCCTATTCAAGGATAGAAATAAGGCAATACAGAAAACAGTAAATATTAACAAATTAAGCAGACACACCTAGCATCACTTTAGGAAGAAAAAGGTTTCTAGGGAACTATTTATTCCACTACATTATATTCTAATGTACAAACTCATTTTTGTACTTACTTATAAAATATTATATTAAAATTGACTTTAATTAGATTGCTAGGCAATCGTGAGATTATAACACACCACTTCTGAACTTTCTCCTTCCTTGTCTAAGTAAGAATAGATATTTTAATGTCTTTCTGAGGTGTCTTTCTAAATCTCAGAAGTCAGCCTCCATACTATGAGTTAATCTAGCTTAACTCTGTTCCCTTCACTGAAATTCCAAGTGCTTAACTTACCGCCCTTAACAGTTTATTTGCAAGAATATGTTATTTTGTATAGGCAGTTTTCTACCTTATCCCCTTTTAATCTATCCTTTCAATTTTTTCCAATCAGTAATTCTAGCTCTTTCTCAAAGCACAGATGGCAATTAATACCATTAGCATCTCTACTTGTGTTCATTTCTATTAAATGATAACTTTGGATTAAAGGGGCATTCTTGAAACAAATTCAGAGCATTGGAGAATCTTCAAAGTAAAGTAGTCAAAGAAGATTTAAGTTACCCATGGAAAAACAGCATTGCCATGTTTACAGTCCATAGGACTTACATCAGCAAAATAATCATTGTTTTAACATCTGACTTTCCTATAGTGATAGAATGGATTATTTCCCCCAGTTTTCTACTTTTCTTTAATAGGATGTGATATCCAGATCCTTCGCCCTGTAACTCTGCATAGCCTCCTGCTGTGGAATGAGTATATACCCTGCTTCACTGATGTTAGGTTAGGCCACTGACTTGCTCTGGCCAATGGGATTTTAGCAGGCATAATATGAGAAGAGGCTTTAAATGTGCTTGGGTGGTTTGGCTTGTACTCTCGCGCTCCTGACATTCCCGATGCGAACAACACGTACAGAGAGCTGCTAGTACAAGGAAAAGGAGAGACACGTGGAGCAGACCTAAACCTAACCCGTAGCCCAGCGCACAGCCACCCCAACTGACCTGCGCAGCCGTGAGCAAGAAGAATAAATATTTGTCATTATAAGCCCTTGAAATTTTGAGGGTGTCTGTAAGCCCATCAGACAAATGAAATAAAAATCTCAAAACCTTTAAGTTGTAATTGGTAACTGCAATGATTTAATTTAGTGAATTATATTAGTAAGTACAGAATACTACACCTTTTATGAAGGAATGACACAGTCCACAGAGACATAAGTGAACTGCAAATGTGGAGGTCAGTGTTTGGTTTTCATCTCTCTCGCTGTATCAATCTGCAACTGACAATAAACTGGCTTATTTTTTTTCTTTCTAGATTTAGTTTTTCTACCCACAAAGAGAAGACAATATAGGAGTGCCATGAGAACAAGGTTATGATGTTAAGCCACTGAGATTCACTGAACTGAACAGCTATAAAGAATTTCTAAGTGTAATTATGAATAATTACTCTTATAAATTTAAATGAGCCTTTAGAATCAAAGGACAAAGTAGTGGTTCAGAGGAACAGAAAAGAGACTTGCAGAATATAAAATATAAAGTAGTATACCCAAACAGTGGGAACATGAATAATGCCAGCACAAACTAACTTTAGAGAAAGTATAAAGAGAAAATGCTATGGTTTGGCACTCAGCCATTTGATAAGAAACTAAAAGAAATTTCAAGGTACAAAAATAAACATGGGTGCTGACACAGGTCTGGTTCTGAGCCTACACCATGGCCATGAGGTCCCAATCAAGTCATTTCATCAGACGTATCTATTTCTGCAAATCTGTAAATGCAGATAGGCTTGATCTTAGAATAAGAATAGTATGAGGACTAACACCAGAATTACTAAGGTGAAAAAAGGCTGGGGATTTTTTCCTTTTATTAACAATCAGTGAAATAATACTCTGAAATGATCCCAAGAAATCAATCAACAAGTAAAAACTGAATAATTATGAAGTACCCAAAACTGTGCTAGGCATTGTTGTGGGATACAGAAGAAAGGTAAGACACAAATTGGCCCTAACCTCAGGTAGTTTACAATCCAGTTATAGAAACAAAAAGGTGAAATCAAGCCAGTAAGCAAGAGCAGGGACTTAAGCTAGGCCTGAAGGTTTAGACAGAAGAATGATTTCCAAAGGGGATGCAAGATAGATGATCCCCTGGGGCTCAGGAAGAAAATAATGGACCTCTCTTTTTTGAAAAGCTCATGCTTTAATTTATACTTTAATGTTTTTATAATATATGTTAGAATAATTAATATTTTATGAATATATATCTACTAGAGTATGCTTAGTAATTTTTTCAAATGATAAGAACATGATCAAGATAGAAAACTGAGAGTTGAAACCTTTCTTCTCACCAGTTTAGGAGTCCTATCCCCATCCCTACCCCTTCAAATCAGAGGCAAAGTGAAGGTTCCTAGCTGTGGAAGCAGTAAATTAGAAGCTAAGCTTTGCCACATTATTAGCTGCTCTCTATTACTCTGGAGATAGAAATCTGGACTTTGAAAAGATTCTTACATCAAGTGTTTCCTCTTTGGAATTAAAATAATGGTCCTCTTAACAACGGAAAACTGGGAGGAGAAAAATTTATGAAAAGCCTCACAGATAACTTTCTGTTAAATTAATGATCAAATTTTGGAAAAGAGACTGCTGAAGTTACATATATTAATATCAAAAAAGAAATGATTATGAATAGAGGAAAGAGAAAAAGAAGAAAATGTGAAGCATCCCCCCAACCAAACACAGCAGTGACTAAAATAGAGAAGGAACTCAGTTAATGCTGAATGAATGAGGCAGCAATAGCACTGTAGGAGAGACAGCCCTGAGTACTTGGAGACACCTGCCTGACTCCAATAAAGAATCTGATGGGGGCTTCCCTGGTGGCCCAGGGGTTGAGAGTCCGCCTGCAGATGCAGGGGACGCGGGTTCGTGCCCCGGTCCGGGAGGTTCCCACATGCCGCGGAGCGGCTGGGCCCGTGAGCCATGGCCGCTGGGCCTGCGCCTCCGGAGCCTGTGCTCCGCAACGGCGGGGGCCACAGCAGTGAG